ATGCCCGCCGTTTAAGGTTTTAATCTTAATCTGAGATGATCGTTGTTGGAAATAATTTTCACTTTTTATATCTCGGCTGGTACGTTCTTTGGATATTCGTCCATGTTTTACTTCGTCCAATGGCCTTTTGTCCGTTTTTTTTAGATTCCAGTCATGCATGGATAATGTTCATAAAACAGGATAAAATTTTAAATCCTCACCATCTATGGAAGTGATGTAAACTCAGTTTAAGCAAACAGTAAGTTCATGAATCTTAGAGTTGCCAATTTCTCGTTTACACACATGAATGATGACAGTATTATTGGAAAAAGATCAAATCCTTAACTCTTTGATCCCAGCGTTCCTGGACAATTTCAACCCTTCTGCCTGAGCTCCTGAGTCAAAATTCGCAAATAACTAATATGTAATATTTCACGAGTGTTTACCCATCGTTCAACTGGCAGCTGAGAATTAAATCATTTGTTCTCTACCACTGTTCAGCCGGTGACTGGGCATTACGTCATTTTTCTCTAAAGCGGTGGTCAAGGCTCAAAGGGTTAATTGATGATATCTGCTAATCTCTAATGGAACTTCAATGGATAATGCCCGCTATTTAATATTCAAAGGTGTATTATTGAATTGCAAGCATTATGGGAAGTGATGTAACCACGTTAAGGCTAGACTTTCTGATTGCATTATAATTTGAAGCATGTATAAATGTTGCTCGTGTCATTGATAATATCAGTCGACCCAGTACTTTCTGAGCGACTGTTCGGTTGTACTCTCTTCCTACGGACGGGATGAACCCGAAGGAGGCTACGTCGAAGGTAAGGTAAAACCGGCCCTGAACCCGTTTATACGGGTTCAATGGGCATATTTTTGGCCGAGCCCACGGGGTCGGAACGCCCACGTTAAAAAGGCCTTGTGCCACATGACGCCCTCGTGGTGGGGGTGACTGAATATCGTCATTGATAATATCTGCTGTCCTCCACTGAAACTTTAATTGGTGATACCCGTCGTTTAAGATTTAAATCTCAATCTGAAATGATCGTCATTAAAAATGATTTTCACTTTTACATCTCGGCTGGTACGTTCTTTGATATTCGTCCATTTTATTTTTATTTTTTTTGCTGCGTCCAATGGCCAAGAACTATGATAACAAATATACAGACCCGTGTGTTAAGCAATGGAATTTGTATTGAAGCAGTTATCAACGAATAATAAATACTGGGACACTTTCAGACATTAGCCAATGTGACAGAGACCAAATCTGAAGAATGTAACACTCGAAACGTTGTGAAAAAAAATCCCAAACAATAATGAGCAAAATGGATAATGAATTAAGTGGCATTATGAAAAGATTTTCCACCATGCACATCAGAGATTTTACAAGCATTAGTTATTTCACCATGGATGAAAATTATCTTCTTTAATATTGGCATGTTCTTTTCTTTATTCAGGGTTTACGTCACATCACGTTGAAACACCGTTTCCCGTACGATCATTGAAGTTAAGCAACGTCAATATCTATATGGGTGACCGCTTGGGAATACCCTGTGTTGTAAGCTTGGATGTGTGGGTAGTATAATCGATCAGGCGTCGGCAACCTTTTGTTAACTACATGCCGACTTAGGGTTTTAAAATCACCCAGTGTACCAACAGCATACGTATATTTATACAAGTCAAGGTCAATATACCTGTTCTAAAATATATTTTATATAGTAATATATATATATATATATATATATATATATATATATATATATATATATATATATATATATATATATATATATATATATATATATATATATTAGTATATAAAAAATTGAAACAGCTAAATATCTTCTTTGCGTTGTATTAGTTATTGGTTAGGACTTCGCGATGTCATTTGCGGTTGAGTGCCATTTGAAATTACTTAGCGTGCTATGTGTGACACGCGTGCCGTAGGTAGCCGATCCCTGTCATAGATAATGGCTTGGAATTTCAGTTCGTTTCGTTATTTTCCCTTACGCGGAAATGGTCTTGGGAAAGGTATATATATGCTTTAGTATATATTAAAATTGAAACAGCTAAATATCTTCTTTGCGTTGTAGTAGTTATTGGTTAGGACTTCGTGATGTCATTTGCGGTTGCGTGCCATTTGAAATTACTTAGCGTGCCATGTGTGACACGCGTACTATGTGTGACACGCGTGCCGTAGGTGGCCGATCCCTGTCATAGATAATGGCTTCGAATTTCAGTTCGTTTCGTTATTTTCACTTTACGCGGAAATGGTCTTGGGAAAGGTATCAATCCATATCTTCTCCCCCAGCTATGGATTAATTATTAAGACTTGCTATTGCTAAACTATTATTATCTCCCCCACCCCAAATTTTTACACTCTAAAAAATATTTTCTAGTTTGAAATTACCTGCAAAGTGTTGACAAGCAATAGAAAACGAATGAAACAATAAACATTTTATTGAGCTTTGTTGCATCAGTCGTTCCTTTATAAGGAAACATTCGGCATTCATTAGCGGAACACCCAGTGCTGCAGGCGATTGAAATTTAAACAATCTTTCTATTAAGATATTTTTTTCAGGGAAATTGGTCTCTCATGTTCAGTAACTGTTATATCCCTTCATTGTAGGGATTAAAGCTTCTTTCCCAACTTGTTGTTCGAGATTGCGTGGAACGTCAACATAACATTAAGTCATTATTTTACGTTCGAGTTACTTGGGCTATCCATTTTAGTTGTTGCGGATTTTTGTAGTCCTCAAGTGATGTGGTTTCTGCTATTTGATACGGTTCTTTTTTGTGAATGTGTAGCGAAGAAGGTTGGTCCTCGCTAACATCTACAGGCATCATTCGCTTGTAATCATTTTTAATTATTGATCTGAGAATGTACGCAGTTGACAGTTTAGACATTTCCGAATGGGTTGGGTGTCATGTATGCCATCCATATGAAAGTCTAGATTCGGTGAGCAAAACAATAATGGATAAAATGATTAATGAATTACCGTATTTGACGCCATATAAAGCGCACTTTAAAATATCTTTTACAATTCCCCTGCGTCTTATATGCCATATGTAGGTTTAAAATTCGCGACAGTCGACCGAAATTAGCAACCTGGCAACTCCTGTTAACTTAGACTTAAACATGAAGACGTGAATGGCAATGCCTGATCATGACCTTTCACTTACAGGAAGAATAAAAAGACTCAGCATTGCACAAGTCTGCGAATGGGTGAAGCAAAGCTTGGGATAATATCAGACCAGAAATTGTTATGAAATCTTTTAAAAAGTGTGGCATTAGCAATGTTCTCAATGGAACGGAAGATGACGCATTATTTAACGACGATGATAATAGTATTAAAAATAAGTATCGGTTTTGATAAGGAAGACGACGGATTTTATGGATTTGAAGATGAATAAAATAAAACTGTACTGTTTTGCTCAGTTGTAATAATTGCATGATTTTTTTTTTACCTTTGGATATAATAAAGTTTTTATAGGCTCGTGTTCTTTATTTCCGATTATTTTTCGTTTACTTGTAATCCTGATTTCTTTAACCAAAATAATACCTCATAAATATAGCCTAGGTTGTACCATTTACTAATAATTTTACTAATTACTACTGTTTTTCTTGATTTGCCCTGCTGAGACTGGGGTGCGTCTTATACACATATGCATCTTATACGCCGTCAAATACGGCAAGTAACATTATGAAAACATTTTCCGTCATGGTCATGGGAGATTTTACAAGCATTTGTTATTTCTACATGGATGAAAATTATCTCCTTTCATATTGGCGTGTGTGTTTTTCTTAACGGTCACATCACGTCGCAACGTCAATTCCAGTATAACGCAAGTTGAGCAACGTCAGTACCTAGATGGGTGCTCGCTTGGGAAAAGTATGAATCCACCTTTTCTCCTCCAGCTATGGATTAATTAGTGCTGAAAGTGGATTAAACGTTTCTCCTCATTTTAGATGTGAGAACTTGTTCAATCCCGTAAATTCCAAGCACTACTCGTTGGACTAAGAGGGATGAAGTCGGTATATATACGCCAGCGTGATAGCCAGTTGTCGAGGGGACTGGACATTTTTCCCCCTTGGTCCATGTGTGCGAACACCCAAAATATAATTAAATCGACTTTGTGTCAAATCCCCCGTCAGTGGGGATGTCAAGTTAATAACGCTTAGCGTTACGGTCTGAGCTGTTTTATTCGACTCATGTAAGGTAGAGACACGAGCAAGATCTAGCTTTACGCACATTTCTAAAGAGAGAAAGGGTCGGTGTAATATTCATGCCAGCTTGACAGTTGTCGAGGGGACTGTGCAAAAGCTTTGTCCCTGGCCCATATGCATACGTATGTGTTTAGGGCTCCCCACATTAAAACGACCTTGTACCATGTCCTACCTTAGTGGTGAGGCTAGGTAAATATACCTGCACTGCATGACCACAAATATTTCCTATGGTTTTTGAGTGATAAGTGTTAGCTTTAAAAGTGGGATTAGGTGTGTATGTGGATAAGAGAAATAGAGGGGCACATAGAGATAGAGAGGGACGGGAGGAGAGAGAAAAAAAGGAGGGAGAATGGAGTGAAGCGTGAGAGTGTGAGAGAGACTGATAGAGAAAGAAAAAGAGAAAACTGCAATGTTTTTTGAGTGATAAGTGTTAGTTTTAAAAGTGGGATTAGGGGAGAGGGGATGGAGGGAGTGTGAGAGGGAGAGAGAAAGAGAGATTTAGAGAGGGTGTGACAGACAGATAGAGAAAGAGAGAGAGAGAGAGAGAGAGAGAGAGTGATGGAAAACCGCGATGGATTCAGAATGCGTATGTGTGCATTTAAGTATGTGGTGTGCAAACAGGTGTGAGGACATTATGAGTGGAAGCATGTTGCTTGTTTGTGCACATGAAATTGTTGTCAGCGTCCCGAGAAAAGAAATAAAAGAATAAAAAAGGACAACAAAACACACGCACACGCACGCACACACACACACACACACACACACACACCCAAACCGAAAAGGAACGACGATGGGGGAACACGTGATTCAGCTGAATAAACATGTGGTAACGAACTGATTGCCTTGAACTTAAATAGGGAAAAGAAAAGTGAGGCAGATATAGGGGGGAGTAAACGAAAGAAGAAAGAGGGTATAGAAAAATGGACGTTACAAGAAAAAGATAAAACATCTATCTATACACAAGAACACACTATTATTAACATGCATAAACACACACAAGTCTCTAGGCTGATGATTAGTCAGTTATCTATCTATCTATCTATCTAGCTCAACTTGTTTATATCTCAGCTAACTCATTTCCTCTCCCTTTCTTACTCTCTCTCTCTCTCTCTCTCATATATATATATATATATATATATATATATATATATATATGTTCAACCTGTTCATAATTATCTCAACAAAAAATCATTCGCTCTCTTTCTCTATCACTCTCTCTCAACCTGTTTATATATATCTCAGCCAACTCATTCTCTCTCTCTCTCTTTATATATATATATATATATATATATATATATATATATATATATATATATCAACCTGTTTATATCTATCTCAACAAAATCATTCTGTCTCTCTCTATCACTCTCTCTCTCTCCTGTTTATATCTATATCAGCCAACTCATTATCTATCTATCTATCTATCTATCTATCTATCTATCTATCTATCTATCTATCTGAAACTGTCTAGTGGCTTCTTAAGGTATGAGACTGCGCGCGAAAATGCAGTTTTTGCTTTCGATGTCCACACTATATCTATAAATGAGATATTCCTGAGATTGTGTAATCTTTACCCAAAATATTGCAAATTTTAAACGATATATATATATGTATATATGTATGCATGTACGTATGTATATCACTGAGTTTGATGTGTCAATACGAAGCCGTGTCATTAAATCTAGAAGTGTTTTTACTTCAAATGCAGCAATTACTCATGGAAATTGCCAGTTGTTACGCGCCTGCCACAAAGTGGACCTAAAAATGCGCAAGTTGGAGGTAATTGACTCTCTTTTTTGTCGCATGAAATTATTCAACTTCCATGCTTTTAAGTCCAGCTCAGCTGAGACCCTAGGTCAAATCATCAGATTTCAAGAGGATAGATTTCGATTTAACAAACAATTCTGAGCCATTTATCAGTCACCGACCCTAGATTTATAAAATCAGAAAATGACAAGATATAACACAGTAAATTTGTATCTGTCTGCTGCCTTGCAGCACATAACTATTTTCCGTGAGTTTTCTGTAATCGAACTGTTCCAAGGGGTGGTATTCCTGGGTATGACTACATCCAGCGACTTTTGATAGGGAGATTGGAGGTTTTAAGGAACGTGGAATCACCTCTTAATTGCTGTTGTTTCCAGGTTCATACTTAGCTAGTGTGGTAGCACCTGTTAGGGACCCAGCTATAGGCAACTAATAAACCCCAACCATTATGAAAGTATAAAAATATATTGTTATAGTAAAAATACTATTAATGCATTTTTATATACAGTGCAACCTCGGTTTTTGAACGTCTCACATGTCGAACAAATCGGTTTTCGAACAGAACATTCGAGATGAAATACCTCGGTTATGGAACAAAATTTCGGTTCTCGAACAACATAGCCGAACAAATCAGTTTACGAACAGAAAATTCGAGATAACTATGCCTCGGTTATCGAACAAAATTTTCCGAACAAATCAGTTTACGAACAGAAAATTCGAGATAACTATGCCTCGGTTATCGAACAAAAATTTCGGTTCTCGAACAACATAGCCGAACAAATCAGTTTACGAACAGAAAATTCGTGATAAAAAATGCCTCGGTTATCGAACAAAATTTCGGATCTCGAACAACATTGCCGAACAAATCAGTTTACGAACAGAAAATTCGAGATAACTATGCCTCGGTTATCGAACAAAATTTCGGTTCTCGAACAACATAGCCGAACAAATCAGTTTACGAACAGAACATTCGAGATAAAAAATGCTTCGGTTATCGAACAAAATTTCGGATCTCGAACAACATTGCCGAACAAATCAGTTTACGAACAGAAAATTCGAGATAACTATGCCTCGGTTATCGAACAAAAATTTCGGTTCTCGAACAACATAGCCGAACAAATCAGTTTACGAACAGAAAATTCGTGATAAAAAATGCCTCGGTTATCGAACAAAATTTCGGATCTCGAACAACATTGCCGAACAAATCAGTTTACGAACAGAAAATTCGAGATAACTATGCCTCGGTTATCGAACAAAAATTTCGGTTATCGAACAACATTGCCGAACCGAGTTAACCCGAACGGAATGATTTCTGAGTCGACCGCCATGTTGTATACATTCGTGCGTTGCGGCATACTTTTACTTTCCAATTTTATTGTACTGTGACTTTTATTCTCTACATTGAGTCCTATTAGAAAAATAGTTTACGAACATTTCGGCTTAAGAACGGCCTTCAGGAACGAATTAAATTCCTGAACTGAGGTTCCACTGTATATATATATATAAAAATTAGCCACGATACATATATATACTAGAATTACCAACAATAAATTTCATAGCAAAATGACTAACAATACATTTTATCTGTAGCTGAAGGCATGTAGTTCAAACATTTAGATTCCAACATTAAATAACCCATAAAGGTTGATACACCCCTAAACCAAATCTATCAATCAAACAAACAACCCGAAATAACTCTTTCATGACATTAATCCAAAATAATATTCTACAATTTCTTAAAGAAATCAAACTGTATTCCAAAATATGAATTTATCTGGAGTTGAATGCATCCGGTAGCAAGACCTTTGGGAGATTGAAGGTTTCTAAAGAATGTGGAACGACCGCTTAATTGCTGCTGTTTCCATCTCCCACCTTGGGGTGGTAGCATCTGTTAGGGTCCCAGCTATCGAAAAATAGAGAACCCTCCAAACAGCAATAAAACACTATGAATGTTTAAAAATATATTTTTATAGTAAAATTACCAGCAATATCTTTTTATATAAAAAAATTACCGACAATACATATTTATAGTAAAATTATCAAAATATGCACTGCAAGGAGTTCACCCAAATCTGTTTAAAATACTACTAAATAACCAACATGAAACATATGCACAAAAGCTGTGTATCATCTACCATGTATGCAACTGTGAAAACAGAATAAGAGTTCACCCAAATCTGTTTAAAATACTACTAAACAACCAACATGAAAGAAATCTTTCATGACATTAATACATATAATATTCTACCATTTCTTAAAGAAATCAAACTGTATTCCAAGATATAACTTCAACAAGACTACAACATAAACCACACGTAAGGCTAAATGCTTTCGCTCAAAAATTCTCATCTAACTCAATACTCGCTTCGTTCGGAGTAGCCACACCTGATTTTCCTCCTAGAACTGAGGCTCTACTGAGTGAGATGAGCATAAGTCCGTCTATGGTAATGAACATCATCGTTCGGAGTAGCCACATCTGATTTTCCTCCTAGAACTGAGGCTCTACTGAGTGAGATGAGCATAAGTCCGTCTATGGTAATGAACATCATCGTTCGGAGTAGCCACACCTAATTTTCCTCCTAGAACTGAGGCTCTACTGAGTGAGATGAGCATAAGTCCGTCTATGGTAATGAACATCATCGTTCGGAGTAGCCACACCTGATTTTCCTCCTAGAACTGAGGCTCTACTGAGTGAGATGAGCATAAGTCCGTCTATGGTAATGAACATCATCTCTAAATTAGACTCATGGAACAAGTGGTGACGGGATACCAGCCGTAGTCCTAAAGAAATGTGCTTCTGAGTTGGTTCCAGTTCTCTCCAAACTATACAACTATTGCCTTGCCCATTCTTGCTTTCCATCCTGTTCAAATTCCTCCTCTGTTTTCCCTGTTTTAATAACCCTGGATACCCTTCTGACTCATCTAACTACCGTCCTATCTCTCTCCTTTTCTGCAAAGTCTTCGAGGCTTTAATCAATGCCGAAGTTTTTAAGCAGCTTACATCCCATGATCTACTCCCTGATAAACAACATGGCTTCTGCATTGCCCGGTCTACTGCTGACGTGCTTACGGCCATAACTTTAATTTGTATACCAAGCTTTTGATAATAACGGCGAAGCTCGGGCTATGGCTCTAGATATCTCCAAGGCGTTTGATAGGGTTTAGCATACCGGCCTTCTACGTAAGTTTCAGGAATATGGTATTACTGGACAATTATTTGATTTAATCCGACAATCAAACCGTCAAATGAACGGGTTCTTTCCAGTTCCTTTTATACGGATACAGGTTCTATCGTGGGTCCTACACTGTTTCTTCATCAACGATCTTCACAATGTCATCAGTTCTCAAGTAGGCATCTACGCAGACGACACTATCATTTACTCCTGTCTCAATAGCAAATCCGGCTGACAAAGTGAGTGAAATACCTATAAAAACTGTCTATAGTAATTATGTCCACACAAACATGTACATGCACAAAAACTGACTTTTATCTACCATGTATGCTATTGTGAAAGCAGAATAACATATATTTTTATTACTTCAAAGCTGCCAAGAAAATTAAATTTTGGAATTAAATAACCCATAAAGAGTTGATATACCTTTAAACAAACAATTCAAATCAAAATCATAGTCCTTGTATAAAGTTGGGGGTCATTAGTGACGGCTCTGGTGGTCATGTGGCCAAATGGTTAGAGCATGGGACTTCTGATCATGAGGTCCATGTTTCACTGTCACATTAGTCGATTTGTCAAGGAAGTGACTTCTTGATAATATTGTCCTGGGGAGATGATCCCAGTGTGCGGCACCGTTGGGAAATGCCTGAAAACTTTACTACAAGTTGACTCAAAAAACCAACATGAAAGAATTCGTTCATGACATTAATCCATATAATATCCGATAATTTCTTAAAGAAATCAAACTGTATTCCAAAATATAACTTCAGCAAAATTACAACATAAATCACACATATCACCGCCTCTAGGAATTATGTCCACACAAAGATGTATATGCACAAATGCTGTGTATCATCTACCATGTATGCAATTGTGAAAGCAGAATAACACATATTTTTATTACTTCAAAGCTGCCAAGAAAATTAAATTTCGATATTAAATGACCCATAAAGAGTTGATATGCCGATAAACAAACAAATTAAATCATAATCAAATTGCTTGTATAAGTGAGGAGGTGATTACTGATGGCTCTGATGGTCATTCATACCTTAGGTAAGGTATGAATCAGTTTCTCTCCACAGGTATGAGATACTTAGTAAGATTTGCATTACTAAACCATTATTATATAAAAAAAATTTATTATCTAAATATATATTCTGGCTTTAAATAATCTGCAAACAGTAATAAACGAATCACTCAATCAATAAATGTATTTTGATAATATTTATCTTTGTGAAAATCAAGTGAAGTATTTGAAGGTAGATAAAAAATAAATGGGTTTTTGAGGTGCGTATTGTATATATATTCACTCCAATATATATATATATATATATATATATATATATATATATATATATATATATATATATATCGAAATCGGGTTGAGATCTCTTGAGAAAATGTAATTTTAAAAACAGGGGATCCTACTGCTATGAACGCATTGCTCTTCAACTGAATTGAGCTCTCCGTGCCACTGGCGTATTTCGCATAGAAGACGTTAAAATTTCCCTCTGTCACTGCCGTGCGACAATGGCCTAGGGGT